CCTATCCTTGCACCTCTTAGTCAATATCGCACTATACTCGGCATCAAAAGAACCATCTTCAAAGGAACTAATCCTAAAAAGCTTCCTCCAAAGCCACTTAATGCTCAATAAAAAAAGATGTTAACATCTTGTAAGCAAAAATTACAACCCCTGGATACAATGTCTCGGCCAAACAAACTTCATCCCCTCCAAAAAAATCTCACTCCCATTTTTCCTCCAATAATTAGACTTCCCAGCGATAGACCCACCAGCCCAGCCACTATTATCTAACCAATCATGACTACACATCCGTCCATTATCACTCCACGCCTTGCTATTCCGTAACTTCCCACCTTTCCCCGCCAAATTCTTAATAATACCAGAATCCAAAATCCCCAACCCAGACGGTACAGGAAAATCCGAAACTAGCCGTTTCGAAATATGGCATAATAAGAACATATAAATTACTTGCACCAAGATTCTAATCCTTATATGGAGTCCAACAATTCTTACACTTTTTAGTAGCAGTTTTCTTAAGCTTCTACAGTTCAATAGCTTCAAACCTTTTCTTCTCCCTCAATCGAGCATTTCTACGCACCCGCCAAGTAGACAGTTATGGCATCAGAACCTGTTACCAAAATAAAGTAACCGAAAGCACTAAAACATATGCTCGTCACGACGATGTAATCTCAAAATGAACTTTCGCGGCCATAGCTAATAAAGTGCCTCCAATACTGTTAAAGAAATTAGAGATGTTTAAAAAAATTGAACTGAGAACAGATAAAAAAATTAATTAAAAAATTTAACCATAATAAAAAATCAATTAAATTGATTTTTAAAATAATAAAATCTTGTTATTTCAATTTAAATTTAATTATAAAACTGAAACCAATAAACCAAATCAAATCAACTATAAAATAAAAAAGCTATAACTACTGTAAACTAACCTAACTTTAATAACATAACACAAAAAATCGATGCCTAGTCTATAAATTATTTTTCACCTTCTTCCTTTCCCTTTTAATTTTCATCCATTACCACTGCATCCATCTCTCTTTTAGCCGAACAAAAACCCATAACTCCATCTCCTTGACTTATCCCTTTATTTTTGTGCCAATTGTTGCAATCCTTCTCTTCTATACTTTTTTTTTATTTACGTGGGGTGTCTAGGCCAGCTTGCGCGCACCACGACTAATCCCCATGGCCCACTGAATACCCTGCAAACCCAGTAGGCATGTAAGGCACCGCGGGGGTGACAGGCGTGCACGCTAGGGCTCGAACCCAGGTGCAGTGGAAGGAGACAAGCCCCTTCCATCGCTAGGCCAAGCACTGGTTTGCCCTTCTCCTCTATACTTGCAACAGAAGGAAATGGCTCTTCCATTAGAGAAAAGATGGAAAGGTAAAGTTTATCCCTATGTTAATTATGTCCTTCGTGTGCTTCTAATATCTATTTCAAACTTTCATGCTTTTTTGGGCTTCCTATCACCACTTCCTTGCTCTTACCTCTGCGTTTTATTTCTTTATCCTCTTCCAGCTAGGGTTTTTGTATTTTTCTTTAGGTTTGCCCCCTTCTCTTCCACTCTCTCTCATTTTTCTTGTTTCAATCATGCCTTTTGTCTTATTTGATTTTTTCTGACACCTTATTACTAGTACTATTAATGTTCTATTGATTTGTGTTGATATTGAATTCTTGATTGCTTTATTTAGCATTGTTAATTTTAGTACGTGGTCTTGATTGCCAGTGCCTTTTATTTGCCTTTAAGTTTCATATATGAAGATCTATTAGCTTATAATTCATCTATATGATTTAAGCATTTTGTTACTGTTTTATGGATAGACTTGAGTACAAGTTAATGAATTCATTTATTTTGTGGATTTTATTATCCTAAATACATAAATTGTTGAAGCATATAATTTAATTCTCGCTATTTTAGGACATCCATTTCTTGCAACTTCTAACACATTGATTAATTATAGGAATGGACTGATGAAGTTATCATTTGAAAACATAACATTGGAGATGAATATTTTCAACATTTGTAGGCAACCTGGAGATAATAATGATTTACAAGAAGTGGACTTTATTGAAAAATTAGTTTATGATCTATTTAAAACTATTTTCAGTGAAATTGAGTTTAATGAATCTGAGAATTTGCAAATGGTTTATTTTTAGGAAGAATCAAAGACAAGTAATTCGAGACCACAATTTGAATAGTTGCCACCATGATCAATTGAGTCTATACCTTCATGTGTTCAACCACCAAAACATGATTTGAAGTCATTGTTATTCAATCTTAAATACTTATTTTTTGGAGAAAATAAAACTTTTCCGGTGATAATTTCTTCCAAACTTAATGCACAGAAATGCATTAAGATGGACCATAACTGACATAAAAGGAATTAATCCTTTTATTTGCACACATAAAATTTATTTAAAGGAAAATGCTAAACCCTCTAAAGAAATGCAACGAAGGCTTAATCCTAATATGAAAGAAGTAGTGAGGAATGAAGTCATTAAACTTCTAAATAATGGAATCATTTATCATATTTCTGATAGCAAATGGGTAAGTCCTACCCAAGTTGTATCCAAGAAGTTTGGAGTCACTATGATAACAAATGAGAAAAAAGAGTTAATTCCAACTATGACTGTTACTGGTTGGCGCATGTGCATTGACTATAGAAAACTTAATTCAATGACTAGAAAAGATCATTTCCCCTTACCTTTCATAGATCAAATCCTAGAAAGAGTTGCAGGTCATGAATTTTATTGTTTCCTAGATGGCTATTCGGGTTATAATCAAATTGAAATTGCATTGAAAGATCAAGAGAAAACTACTTTTACATGTCCATTTAGTACTTTTGCATATCAAAGGATGCCTTTTGGATTATGTAATGTGTTGTGATGTCGTGGTCACACAAATTAATTACCCTAACTTAAAACACAACACACAAGATAGTATAGAGCAAGCAAGGGGTCGATCCTACAAGGAAGATTTAGTTTAGATTTTTATGTTATACATTATGCAATTAGGGGGTTTTGATTTGTAATGATTTAAACTATGGAAGAAATTAAACTAGCAAACAAAATCAATTGAAATTGAAATTTATCAAGAAAACAAACCTTGAAACAAAACTACAATTTATATTCTGAATTTTTATCTTTTCTTAATGTTGGTTAATTAATGGATCCGCCGTATAACTAGCCCTAACCAACAAACAATCACAATGTCCGCATTAATGATTTAGTTCAATGGCAGCCCTAAGAAGTAGATATTTGAAATCCGAAGGTTTGTTGTGTCGTTGCAACCAAAAAGATAGCTTAGCCTTGCATAACTATTGAACAACTACTCTTAAAGAATGAAGAGAGCATGATTTTTGGGTTTGTAGAGGAGAGAATTTGTGTTTCTTAACTTCTAGCTGCTGCCCCCTTCTCTCCTCTCTCTCTTTCTTTTTATATGCTAAGAAACCCTAGTTCCTAATTTACAAAGTAGTCCTCTCTTAAGTTGATAATTGACATTTAAGTACTTCAATAACTATTTTCCCTAAAAAAGAGAAATAGCCTTGCATGAAATCTTCAAGCTCTGACTTAGAGGAGCTAAATTGCTAATATAAAAACTTGGATGATAGTTTAAAAGCTTCGAAACATAATTTGGACTCATTTCTTCACGAAACCTGATTATTGGCAAAATTCAGTTATCATTTTTGAAAAATCATATCTCCCTCATCTGACATCATTTTTGGCTGAAATTTGGAGAGTTTACAGACATTTGAGTCAGGAATCCAAAAAAATTAAGTTTTCATAAATTGGACTTCTATAGATCCAGATATTGAATTTTGAATAGACAAAGGTCAACAGTGGCATAATGTGAGATTTGACTTTGAAGGATGTGATTTCCATGATCTTTCTCTTTTTATTTTTCTTGCATTACATTTCCAGAAAGGTATAGATGTTAGCTTTTTAATTCCACTAGAATCACTTCATTTCGATCTCTAGAACTCACGCTCTGCACAAAACATGAATTGAACATCAAATTTGCCAATTATCTCCAATTTACTCCTTTTTGCATTTTTCATCCAAAAGTGCCTTCAAAACATAAAACAAAGAATATCAAGGCATTTTACATATAAAACATGGACAAAACGTCAGGTAAATATGGGTGAAACTATCGAATAATATGGTTACATCATAATGCATCAGCCATGTTTCAAAGTTGCATGTTTAGCATATTCAATGATATGGTTGAACATTTTCTTGAAATTTTTATGGATAATTTTTCTGTTTTCGGCGATTCATTTGATGATTATTTGACTAACTTAGAAATGATTTTGAGCAGGTGTGAAGAGAAGAATCTTGTGCTGAATTGGGGAAAATGTCATTTTATGGTAACAAACGGCATTATACTGAGTCATATTATTTCATCAAAAGGAATTGAGGTTGACAAATCTAAAATCAAGTTAATTACCAACTTGCCAACACCAAAATCAGTTAAAGATGTTAGATCATTCTTAGGACATGCTGGTTTTTATAGAAGGTTCATCAAAGATTTTAGTGTTATATCTAAGCCATTGTGTAACCTTCTAACAAAGGAAAATGTTTTTGAATGGACTGAACAATGTGAAAAAGCCTTTGTTAAATCAAAACGAGACATTGTCCTCAATATTCTAAGGTAGAAAGATAAAGTATAGAAGATATCACCTGAGATAACAAACACTGATAAACCTAAAACACACTTAAATAAAAATAAGAAATAACAAAACTATTGTGATGTCGTGGTCGCACAAATTAATTACCCTAGCTTAAAACACAACACACAAGATAGTATAGAGCAAGCAAGGGGTCGATCCCACAAGGAAGATTTAGTTCAGATTTTTATGCTATACGTTATGCAATTGGGGCATTTTGATTTGTGATGATCGAAACTATGGAAGAAATTAAACTAGCAAACAAAATCAATTGAAATCAAAATTTATCAAGAAAACAAACCTTGGTTGCAAGCACACATCCACCAACGGAAATAAGAACCAATCCTTGAAACAAAACTACAATTTATATTCTGAATTTTTATCTTTTCTTAATGTTGGTTAATTAATGGATCCGCCGTATAACCCTAACCAACAAACAATCACAATGTCCACATTAATGATTTAGTTCAATGGCAGCTCTAATAACTAAATATTTGAGTGTTCTCCCTAAGTTTAATAATGTAGTTCCGCCACAATTATCAAGCTTAGTTGCTTTACAAGTTCATACATCACAACTCCGATTTTGATATCAAACTTAGCAATAAATTGTTCACAATAATAACTTAGAGTTCCGCTTTAGCAATTATCAACAACAATCATAGAAAATATGCATAGGAAAACAATCATACTCATTCATAATATAAACTAAAAATAAAAGGAAGAATAAATCTCACGGTTCTTGAAATCCAAAGGTTTGTTGTGTCCTTGCAACCAAGAAAAGAGTTTAGCCTTGCATAACTATTAGACAACTACTTTTAAAGAATTAAGAGAGCATGATTTTTTTAGGGTTTGTAGAGGAGAGAATTTGTGTTTCTTAACTTCTGGCTGCTGATCCCTTCTCTCCCCTCTCTCTTTCTTTTTATATGCTAAGAAACCCTAGTTCCTAATTTACAAAGTAGTCCTGCCTTAAGTTGACAATTGACATTTAAGTACTTCAATAACTATTTTCCCTAAAAAAGAGAAATAGCCTTGCATGAAATCTTCAAGCTCGAACTTAGAGGAGCTAAATTACTGATATAAAAACTTGGATGACAGTTTAGAAGCTTCAAAACGTAATTTGGACTCATTTCTTCACGAAACCTGATTGTTGGCAGAATTCAGTTATCATCTTTGAAAAATTATATCTCCCTCATCTGACATATTTTTTGGTTGAAATTTCGATGTTTATAGACCTTTGACTCAGGAATCCAAAAAAATTGAGTTTACATAAATTGGACTTCTATAGCTCTAGATATTGAATTTTGAATAGACAAAGGTCAACAGTGGCATAATGCGAGATTTGACTTTGAAGGATGTGATTTCCATGATTTTTCTCTTTTTATTTTTCTTGCATTACATTTCTAGAAAGGTATGGATGTTAACTTTTTAGCGCCACTAGAATCACTTCATTTCGATCTCTAGAACTCACGTTCTGCACAAAACATCGATTGAACACCAAATCTGCCAATTATCTCCAATCTACTCTTTTTTGCATTTTTCATCCAAAAGTGCCTTTAAAACATAAAACAAAGAATATCAAGGCATTTTACATATAAAACATGGACAAAACATTAGGTAAATATGGGTGAAACTATTGAATAATATGGTTACATCAAAAACATAATACTAAAACAAAAGGACACAAAAATTCACAAATGAAGACTCAAATCTAATCTAAGCTTTTTACGGCTTTCCTTAGTTGACCAATTTATATGACTCATGGAGGGATAAATTACAGGAATGAAAGATTGTAGTTGGTCAATCAACTGTTCAACAGTAGTAGTAGAGATTATGATTTGTCGTGCAGAAGATGTTAGAAATTCCTGTTCCATAACATGATCAAAAAAAGACAACAACTTATCATAATAACCATTAACATTTAACAAACCTATAGGTTTATGTTGAATATGCAATTGGACCCAAGAGGAAATATGAAAGATCTCTTCCAATGTGCCTAAACCACCTAGTAAAGCAATGAAAGCATCAGCATGGTTAAACATTACATTCATTCGAGCCGACATTGTGGAGACCTGTAGTTCCTCTCTAATTGTTTTTCCAATGATGTCCCCTTGTGCTAAAGTTTCGGGGATAACCCCTAAAACTTGACTACCTCCTAAAAATGCAGCTATTGACACACCTCCTATTAACCCAAAACTGCCTCCCCCATACACTAAATGAATCTTTCTCTCTGCTAGCTCTTGACCAAGATGATTTGCTGATTCTAAAAACTCCTTTTCTTTCTCAGGACTAGATCCACCGAAAACATAAATATTTCTTATTTGATGACTTGAGGAACTTGTCATTTCTAAACACTTCTATATTTGATGAATGTATGGGTTAAGTGGAAATGAAGGGAAGGAAGAGAGGATTTTATAGATGAGAAATTAAAAGGGCAATCATACCACCTATATGTAGGTCAGTTGGAGTCTCACTCACTATCTCTCTCTCTTTTTATTTATTTCTTTATTTATTTTTGAAAAAGTATGTTATGTACAGTTAGTTGTGATTGTGGCTCACATCTGCCCTTGGTTTTACGTCCAAAAATGACTTAAATGCCCTCTATGGGTCGGGGATAGGCTTCCCATCCAGTTTTCTTAAAAACTGGCAAACAAGGTCTTTTTTAGTCAGATTCCCAAGACTAAGTCGATCATGTTCTTTATGAAATAGTGGCCATAAATTATGAATTGCACGATGCTTATCTCGACTACGATGAGACTTAAGAGCTAATAGAAGATTATCTAAAGACTCTCTGTGTTGTCACTTTTGATAAAAGATCTGCATCAACATTTTCGGTGCCTTTTTTATCCTTGATTTCTTCCTGATTGGTCATGGCATGAGGAGATGGAAGTGCTGGTGGGGAATCAGTCTTTTCTTTGTAATGTTCATATTCAACCCCTTCCTTATCCTTGGAGATTGACTCATCATCTTTCTCACAAGGTTCAAGAATTGTTTTGTGAATAACCTTACCACTACGAAGAGTGATGACTGATTTGACTTGATCCATGTGTTGACTTCCAAAACTACTTGCATTTGCATTGTATTGCCCCTTAGGATTGTGCTGTTGTTGAGATGAAAACTTACCTCTCTTGAAAACTAAGAGCAGATGTGAATTTTGCAAGAGTATCTTTAAAATTTGTTATGCTTTGAGCAAGTACAGTGTTTATTATCTCTTGCTTTTCAATGAATGCATGCAAAGTTTCCTCAAAATTTCTTCTAA